ATTATGACAAGTATAGTTGCTTAGGTAATATTGATTAAATGAGGATCCAATGGGGAAGCAAGTCTTGCAGCAAGCATACAAGGAAGGAACAAGGATTTTCAGATTTTCGGTGAGGGGATGGGTCAGGGACCTTTCCTGGAAGGGATGGGTTAAGGTCTTGGTCCGCCACCCAGGTGACTGATGACTGTTTAGAATATACTGCTATTCATCTCTAGAGAAAGTACGTGGGTGTATAGTTTCTCTTTTTATAATACTAACCAGTGAATTGCCTCAACTGTTTTTCTCTGCTGAGGGCTCAGCTTTGTTTGTCTAACTGCCTTATAATAATTTCTGATTAACTTATCTGTCTGCAGTAGTAGCACACCCCTGTACCCCAGCACTCAGGATATTGCAGAATTCCAAGGGACAAGGGAGACCAGATGGGGATCAGGAGGATTTATTAAGGTGAACACTAGCTCAGCGGACTTGTGTCCCAAGGTTGAGCCACTGAACAAAGGAAAATTAATCGAAGGGGGTGGATTTTCTAGTGACACAGTGGGTTTACAGGAACAGGACAAGGGCAGGCAGTTTAGTAACTTAGCCTTGTAAGAAGACAGTGTATTATGAATCATATGGGAATGGAGTGTCATAAACTCTGTTTACACCGCATATGGTTCCTCAGGGGCTACAAAACTTCATGTACAGAAATATGACTTTACCTTATCAGTACCAGGGGGAGTCAAGTAGTTATAAGTGGAGGAGGCTGGAACCTGGGGAGCTGCTAGACTGCTTTCAGCTGGAACTGATTTTCTTTTAAATTCTGCTTTAGGGAGGCTGAGGCAGGAAGACCACCATGAGTTTGAAGCCAGCCTGGGCTACATAGTGAATTCAAGTCCAGCCTGGACTACATAGTGAGTCTCTGTCTCAAAAAAGATGAAAAAATAAATATTTTTAAAATAAAATCATTGAGAGCCGGGGATTTAGCTCAGTGGTTCTGCCGCCTGCCCCACAAGCACAAGGACCCAAGTTCGATCCCAGGTACAAAAAATAAAATAAAATTGTTGAAATGGAAAATTTCACAAATATTTTACTGCAGTTGAGAACAGAAGATCTCGCTGGGCATGGTGGTGCATGCCTGTAAATCCCAGCACTGGAGAGGCTGAGGCAGGAGAATTGCCACAAATTCAAGACCTCCCTGAGCTACACAGTCAGTTCAAGGCCAGCCTGAAGTACATAGTGAAACTTTGTCTCAAAAAAAAAAAAAATAGATAGATAGATAGATAGATAGATAGATAGATAGATAGATAGATAGATCCAATGAGGAAGCAGGTCACATAGCAAGTGTGCATAGAAAGAACAGGCCCTTTCCTGGAAGGGGTGGGTCAGGAGGTATTGGTCCATGCCCCCTCCATGGTGACTGACGCCTGTTTAGAATATGAATCTTTACTGTTTATCCGGGGAGGTTATGTAGGTGTAGTCATCCCATCTGTGTCTTGAGGCCTGGCCCTCAAGGAATGTGCCTTGGCCTTCAGCCACAGTTGTGGTGTGTTCTAATCTTCTGCACTGGCTTCTTGCAGGGCCCAGGCCCGTTTGACTGCCGAAATATTTTACCTAACTGGGCTCTCTAATACCACCACACCCAGCTCTTTTTAACTTTGTATTTTGAGGCACTAAATGCTCTGGGTGGTCCAAGCTTACTATCCCTTCTTCAGTCTCTCAGTTGCTGGGATTATAGGTGTGAGCCACCACCTGGCCACACATAGCTTTTTTTCACATACAATTGGGGGGAAACTCTTTAAGGCAAGTTTAGACACCCCAAAGGAAATCGATTTGACTACAAAACAAGTTAATTGTTTTTTTTTCCATGTGCAGTGGCACACACTTGTAAATCCCCTGTACTTGAAAGGCTGAGGCAGGAGGATTTCAAATTCAAGGCTAGCCTGTGCCCTTTAGTGAGACCTTGTTTCAAGGGTCAGGGATTTAGCTCAGTGGTGCCACCACCTGCCTTGCAAATGCAAGGTCCTGAGTTCGATCCTCAATACCAAAAAAAAAGGTTTGTGTCTTTAAAGGAGTACAGAGCTTTCTTGGTAGCATTTATGAGGCCCTAATAATGGGAAGAAGAAAAAAAAAAACAGTTTTCAAGTAGTAGTTTGTTTTTGATACAGGAAATAATACCAGAGATGAAATAGGAAATATTATTTCTCCCAACCTGTTAGCTGTCTGATATGCTGAGCTCTTGTTCTCTAAAAATCTAAGAATGGATTCCAGGAACAGGGGAGGTTAAGAGTAGGAAGATATTTATTGTTAGGAAAGGCCCTGAGGGGCAGGAGAGGACCCCCAGTGGGTAGCCTGGGGCCCCACTTTACAGAGGAGGTTTATAGGGTGAAACCCACATGGGTACAACGTGGGCCACAGCCATGATCAACCAATAAGGCTACAAGGACAGTCACTTAGGTAACAGTGGTCCAATTGGGAAGCAAGTCACATAACAAGCGTGGTGGGAAAGAACAAAGATTCTCCTAGGAAGTGGTGGGTCCAGAGGGCTCTGGTCACCCACCAAGGAGGCTGATGTCTATCTAGACTTCATTAGGCCCAGTGTTTGTTCTTTGAGGAAGTATGCAGGTCTGGTCATCTTGTCTATCTTGAGGCCAGGTTTCCAACTGGTGTGTCTCCAGCCCCAGCTGTGTGTTTCACCTTTGTCCTGACTCTCTCCAGGGCCCAGCCTGTCTGACTGCCTGTAACATTTGTGCCGAACTCCTCTGTCTAGAATGTTTTGTTTTCAGACAGGGTCTCCCTACGCAGTTCAGGGTGACCTTGAACTCAGCTGGCCTTGAACTTGTAGGGAGGCTTCTGCCTCAGCCTCCTGAGTCCTGGGATCAGAGGCATGCACCACCAGGCTGACTCAAGTAGTGATTTTGTTTGTTTGTTTGTTTATTTTTTGAGATGGGGTCTTGCTATGCAGTCCCTGAACTCTCTTGCTGGCCTTGAGTGCCGGATCCTCTTGCTGTAGAGCTGGGATCACAGGCGAGCACCCCATGCTCACCTCACTTTCCACTTGTGATTTCTAATTAGTCTATTTAATTTTGCAATACCAAGCAATTTTTTTTCCTGTATCACTTAATCTACTTGCATTAGTATTACCCTGGCAGGTGGCTGCAGAATCATATTAGTTCAGTTATAGAACTCTGCATTATATGAGGCATAGCTATTTCCCTTGGGTCTTAATTTAATAAGGTTTGAGTCAACTTTCTGCCTTCGACATTTGTGCTTTGAAAAAAATCTCCATTGCACTATTCTCCACACCCTGGGAAAGCTACAGCAAGGGAAAGTGATGTCTTCTCTCAAAGGGTTAAAACTTCAGAAAGGTATTGTTTGAAAAATTCACTGGAAAATGGCTTCCACATTCCAAAGGCAGAGGAAGGAAAACTATGAAATCATTTTGAAGGGATTTGTTCTGCACCAAGAGTTGGCTCCTTTCCACATGGGCTGCCAGGTTGGCCAGCTCGAGGAGAAATGATTTTTACTCTCTCCCTCTTCTCGTTTTCAACCCGGGTCGTATGGAAATGAAAATCCCATTTGGTGATCAGGTTCTTCAGATGGATTTAATTTATACACCATTTGACCTAGTCAATCAGACCAGGCTAAGGAGACAGCTTTTTTCATTATCCTGTTGTGGGCTTTGCGTAGAAATCATTGAGTTGCAGAAAGTCAGTTTAGCAGGCATCAAATTTCGGGTTTTACCTCATTACCTTTGGGCTGCGGTCCCGTTTTCTTCTGAACAATCATTCTCTTTCAAAGCAAACTTTCGGAATCATTGTCTCATTTAATCTTCTAAAATAAACACTTGCCTCAGACGCACTGGTTGCTAAAGGGACTCGATTCCAGCCGGTAGCATGCACGTGTGTGTGTGTGCGTGCGCGCGCGCGTGTCTGTGTTAGTCACAAATGTGCAAGAGGAACGGACGAGCAGCAACAGGACCGGCAGAGATCCTAACGGAGATCAGCCCCTCTCCGATCCTAACACGGGCCGGCGTCCTAACTCCTGGCCTAACCTGCGAGGCTGAACCTTCGTTCTCAGGGAACACTTGATGGAAAGTGTAAGTGAATTCATTTCCGCGCTTTGGCCGACCCCCTCGGATTTAACGGATTTAACAGCGCCAGCATTCCCCCACGCACACCCACCCCTACGTGCGCCGCCCTGCGACCACCACAGAAACTGCAGCCGCCCCTAACTCCACCCCGGGGAGCTCGGCCTCCCAGTGAAATCCAGGGGCCGAGAGTTCCTGCCAGACAGATGGCGTCGATGGAAGGGATTCAACTATTTGAGACAGACCCTGTGTTTGTGCCTGGTCCTTCGGACACGCTTGCGTTAGCCGAGAAAGCCACGTCCACCATCTCCTCTCGCCTGGCCCCCTCGCTCACCTACGAACTGCTCTCTGCTGCACTATGGGCTTTACCTCCCTCCTGCCCCGACCGAGAGATTTCTGTGGTCTTTGCCAGGAACTCTACAAATCCTGACACTTAGTAGATGTTCAATAAATATTTGATAGAATAAAAATGCCAGATCACCACCAGAACCAGGATCAAAGTATCTAAGAATTCTGGATTCTGGGGTTTGCTAGGCGTGGTGGCTGACGCCTGCAATCCTAGCACTCTGGGAGGCTGAGGCGGGAAGATTGCAAGTTCGAGCCCAGCTGGGCCATTTAGGGAGACCCTGTCTCAAAAAAGGGGGGGTGGGTAAATAAGAACCAAGACATATCACGTACAAATTCCCAATAATGAATGTGATCATAATGTATACCCAAAATGTACCAATAAACTTAATGATTTTTTTTTAAAGGTGGGGAGACTGAGGATGTAGCTCAGTGCAAAGGCCATAGGTTTAATCCCCAGTGCCGGGGCAGGGAAGAATTCTGGGAAAGTGTGGAAGACAGCTGGAAGGAGAATTTGAGATCTGTCTGTGATCGCTAAGCCAGAAGGCTTATCTTGCTTTACAAGTGCTAAAGTAAATACTTTGTTTTGTGACTTTTGTTACTTAAACTTCATTTTCATATCAAAACCAGAGAAACTGATGATAACAGCCATGGATTAAATTCTCCGGATGCTTGTGGGGTGGTTGACAGGAAGTGAAGTACCCATTTACTGCAGGATAAATGGAAGAACAAATGATGCTATTAGCAAAGGATTAAAAGTCAATTAAAAGGGCCGGGGATTTAGCTCAGTGGTTCCAATGAGTTCGATTCCCGGTACCAAAAAAAAAAAAAAAAAAGTCAAGGCCAGGGTTTAGCTCAGTGGTTCTAGCGCCTGCCTCGAAAGCTCAAGGTCCCAAGTTCGATCCCAGCTACCAAAAAAAAAAAAAAAAATGCGGGGGGAGGCTGTAGCGTGGGAACTTCTTGGTCAAAGCCACAGGAGCCCTGATTGCCACAGGAGCATGGAGGGACCAGAAGGAGAGGGGGGAATCTGCCCTTCCGCTTTCAGTTCTGACCTTCTATCCGGCGCCAGAGAGCCCCAGGACTTCTAGCCAGCACCTTTTTACATCTCTAAAAGGAGAATTTATGAGTTCTTCCCTCATAGGACTGGGAGGATTAGATCAGTTAATCCATATAAAGTTCTTGCACTGTGCCAGGTGCAAGCGAAGACTCTGGCCAGCGGCAGATGCTAGCTCTCCCCCGTCGCTGCTGGGCCACCTCCGAAGAAACGGTGGTTAAAATTTATACTCAGCCCTTCCGGGAAACTGGTATTTAATGAGCTACAGGGAGACAGCGCTTTCCATCCGTTAGCTCACTGACTCCTAGGACAACGCTCACCATTAGCCGCAGATCCTCCGCCTGCGGTGCAGCTCGGCCAGACTCGGAAGCTGAAGCCTGAAGTCCCTGGCTTGCACTGTGGAGTTTGTGTCTGTTCCAAAGCCCCTCCTCGCACGTCACTCACTAGTAAATAAAAAACAAAATTATTCCGGAATGATTCCAGCCGTTCCCGTTCCCTCCGTGAGGACGATGAGGACAGTGTGCACACCCAGAGCCTGTGAGCCTCAGCGAGGACGCGCAGACTTCCTCTCTCCCGGGCTTTGGCCAAGAACACGGGGCTGCTGGGCCCCACTCCAAACTCCCTCTGGACTCTTGGCTTTTCCTAAAAAGGAAAGCTCTTTGGCTGTTTATACTTGCCCAAAAGAACCTAAAATTTGAGCCTGCCCAAACTGGTTCCGGTTAGAGTTGTCTGGTTTGGTTTTGTTTGAGACAAGGTCCCGCTGTGTCATCCAGGCTGGCCTTGAACTCAGTATGCAGCCCAGGCTGGCCTCTTACAAACTCACCGTGATGGTCCTGCCTCAGCTTCCCGAGTGTTGGGATCACAGGCAGGTGCCATCACCTCTGACTCAAGTTCATTTTCAAGAACCGAATTAGCACACAAGAGATATACAATATTTCCTCATTAGTTCTACTTCTCACTTTTGAACTTTTTTTAGATATTGGGGATTGAACCAGGTTCCTCGGGGATGATAGGAGAGTGCTACCACTGAGTTACAACCCCAGACCTTTGAACTTTCTGCTATTATAAATAACCTGAGATACATAATTAGTATGGTTTCCAAATAGCAGTGCTCCTTACTTCCTCTGGAGTGAAATTGATTACTTAACTACTAGGCAGCTCTTCTAAACACCATGGTCAGGCATCTTTCCGTCTTCTTTATGTTTTTGTTTTTGTTTGTTTGGTTTTGGGTTTTTTTGGTACCGGGGATCGAACTTGGTCCTTGCGCTTGTGCAGCAGGTGGTGGAACCACTGAGCTAAATCCTCGGCCCTGTTTTTGTGTTTTTTTGAGACAGGGTCACACTATGTACCCCTCGCTACACTCAAACTCCTAGTGATCCTGCCTCAGCATCCCATGTGCTGGGATCATAGGTGTGCACCACACCACCCAGCAACTTTCCTTCTTTGAAATATTAGACATAAAATAGATACCAACAAATACCATAATATACTTGAAGACTTAGTTGCTATGTGGTCTTTAGAAGTTGCTGGTTGTGGCAGTACAGTACATGCCTGTAATCCCAGCACTCAGGAGGCTGAGGCAGGAGAATTAACAAATTGGAGGCCAGCCTAGGCTACGTAGTGAGTTCAAGACTAACCTGACTGCATGACCCTGTCACAAACACAAACAAACAAGCTCCCTGGGGCCTTTTCTGTAAGTGAAGCAAGACTGAAAGAAAAACAAGCCCTTCCCAGCCTTGGGCAACTCCTTGTTGTGGTACAGATAACAGTAACAACTGGGTCCTGTACACAAAGTTTATGACCCTCTGTTCTCATGATGGATGCATAAGACTCTGTCTTCTTTCAAGGCAGAGTTGCAGAGCTGTCTGCCCTTGTCCTGTTCCAGTAACTCACTTGCTACCTCACTAGGAAAACCACACCCTTGGACAAAATGTGTAAAAGCTGAAACTTCTCTCTGTTCAGTGCTCAGCCATTTTGGACAAGAGTCCACTGAGCTGGCCACACACCTTAAATAAATCCTCCTGACTCCCTTTCGGTCTCTCCTGTCTCTTGGAATTTTCCAACATCAGGGCATTCATCCTATTCACAGGAGCTCCTCCCTGGTGACCCAGTTACCTGCTAAAGACCGTGCCTTGAACACCAATACCTGGGGATTGCATTTCAATATGTGAATTTTGGGGGGACACAAATATTCGGGCCGAAGCAGGTTCGTGTTTCAGTTTCCCTATGGAACAATGTCTTCGCTGTGAAGTAGCAGTTAGGGCTAGAGTGAGCAGGTGTTCCCACTGTGGGATCATCTATAGATACCAATCCTGTCAGGTGTGTAAATAAACTGGTCGGAACCTCTATGGAAAATAAAGCTATCTACTACAAACGATTTCACAAAGTCCTAGTTTACCATTGGGATACAGGTTAGGGGTAAAGCTCTCACCTAGGCATGAGGCCTTGAGTTTGACCCCTAGAATGGAAAAAGATGTTTTCTTTCTTTTTTCAGTGCTGGGGATAAAATCCAGCAGCCCTCTACCCACAAGCTACATTCTCATTCCTTTTTATTTTATTTCAAGACAAGGCTCACTAAGTTGCCCAGGCTGACTTTGAACTTGTTCTCCTCCTGCTTCTATCTTCCAAGTAGCTGGAATTACAGGTGTGCACCATGATGACTGGCTTTTTATTTCCCTTTCTACTCAACTTGCATTCTTTCGTCTTCAGTCAATAGTCCTCCTTACACCATCACCTCATTTTGATATGAGAAATATAAGTCTGGGTGTGATGGCACAGGCCTGTGGTCCCAGCACTGGGGAGGCTGAGGCAGGAGGATCGCCTCAAGTTTGAGAGGCCAGCCTGGGCTACATAGTGAGTTCAAGGCCAGCCCTAAAGTACATATGGAGAACCTGTTTTAAAAAGCAAAAAACAGGGCCAGGGATTTAGCTCAGTGGTTCAGGCACCTGCCTCGAAAGTGCAAGGTCTCAGGTTCGATCCCCGGTACCAAAAAAAAAAAGACAAAACTCCCAACCTGCTAGATGTTGTATGTGCTGACTTCAAGGGAAGAATGAATTTCAAAGGACAATGGAGGTTAAGAGTAGGAAAGGTTTATTGAGAGACTTATTGAGAACTTGTCTAAAAAAAAAAAAAAAAAGGCTAGGTTCTATCCCCAGTACTGCAATGACTCAATCAGTCAACCCATAATCTGATGACGAGAATAATGTGGGCATTGCCACGCAGGGTGGACACAAACCATCTGAAGGCCATAGGTGCATCAGGGCCCTTTATAGGCCTGTTGTGCCTGTAGTCACTCACTCACAGGAGGCCCTGGGGCGTAAGGAAGGTGCCCAGGCATCAGGTGCATACTAGAGGAACTCAGCTAGCAGCAACTTACTTGGCGTATGGGCAAGCATTTTAAAAAATGGTGTGGGACACTACGCTTGCCACCAGGTTATTAAAAGGCCTCTTTCCAAGCTCTTTAAAATGCTTCCTTCCACACAGTGGAATGCACTTGTATGTAAATGTCACGGAGGGCAGGCCAGTCATCATCAGAGTCACCCTGTGAGGAACCTGCATCCTGAAGTGCCTTCATCAGGCAGTCACACTCCCCAAGTGGCTACTTAAGCTTCTCAAGGATCTTCATTGAAATTAACCTCAGAAGGTTCATTAATTAGCATAAAGGATGATAGGAATGCTTTTTTCCCTGAAATGAATGGTGGCCCAGATATATGCTGGCTGGGAAGATGTCACAACCCTACCGTTCTTGTGTGAATGAGATGTAAGAAAAGCAGAACAGAGTGGAAGTTGCACAAGAGCAGGGACATTTATTGGCTTTGTCCATAGCTACTAGGTGAGTGAAAAATACAATGTTTAAATTGAAAATGTATTACGGTAAAAAAAAAATAATTTAAAAAAAATTTTTAAAAAAGAAAATGTATTACAGTAAAAAACATTGCCTTTAGTCCCCCTCAAAATACTCCCTCTTCCTTGAACACACTTACCTCATTCTTCTTGCCAATTTCTGAAGCAGTTCTGGAAGTCCTCTTTCGTGTCTTTAATGGCACTGTCCTGACTGCTTCAGTGTCCTAAATCGATCCAAAACTTTTATGTTTCATAGTCTTTGATTTCTGAGGGAAGAGCCGCAAGTCCCACAGTACCAGATCCAGTGAAGAGGTGGATGCGGACACAGTGCTGTATTTTTACGAGTCTCCTTTCTCCTGGATGGCACTTGGCAGCAGGACTCACCATATTTTTAATTATACCTCATAAAGACACTCACGAAAGAGCACTTCCAGAACTGCTTCAGGAAGTGGTGAGAACGATGGGACAAGTATGGTTCAAGCGAGGGGGAGCATTCTGAGTGGGATTGGTGGCAGTGTATCTACTGTAAGAAATGTTTTATTTTGATATTCAGTGCATATCTCAGTCACACCTGGTACCCCTCTGAGGTCTAGGTTCTGTTTGGTCCTATGTTGTTCTCCTATGTTGTTCCCTCCTGTGCCAAGGGTCCCTTCCTGCAGGCTCAGCTGGGACGAGAAGAGATGGCTGGCCAATGCTCCACTTGGCCCTGCCTGCAGCCCCTCAATTGCACTTCTCTGTTGTCTGGCTCTTTTTGTCTTGTCCCCTTGCTAATAAAATTTTATGCATTTGGAAGAATCTGGACCACATTTTGCATGTACTCTAGTCTACTACATGATATCAAAGTTGTGTGGAAGGCACCTTTAATTTCCATATTTGCAAATCAAGAGATGGTGTTTTTTTTTTTTTCTCTTACAGTACCCCTTTTAAAAATTTTTTATTTTGGGACAAGATCTCAGTAAGATTCTAAATTGCCCAGCCTGGGTTCAAATTTGTGATTCTGTTGCCTCAGTCTCTCAGAATGCTGGGATTACAGACTTGGGAAACTGCACTTGACTGCTACTGATATTTATTTTTAAAAGTGACTGCTGGCCCGGGGATTTAGCTCAGTGGCAACACGCCTGCCTTGCAAGCATAAGGTCCTGAGTTCAATCCCGGCTGCTGAAGAGCCAGACTGGCTGAAGTCAATTTACAATATAGGGTTTAAATTGTTGCTTTTTAAAAAGGAGGTTTGAGGCCCAGGGGTTTAGCTCAGTGGCACAGTACCTGCCTCACAAGTGCAAGGTACTGAGTTTGATCCCCGGTACCAAAAAAAAAAAGAGGGTAGAGCTGGGGATGGTGAGGCACACCTGTGATCCTTTCACTCAGGAGGCTGAGGCAGGAGGATTGCCACCAGTTTGAGGCTAGTCTGGGCTACATAGTGAGTGCAAGGCAGCCTGGACTACATGGAAGACTCTGTCTCAAAAAAACAAAAAAGTGTGTGTGTGTAAAACCTAGTAGTTCAAATAAGAAATGTAGTTCTGTCAGGTGTGGTAGTGCATGCTTGTGATCCCAGCACTTGGGAGGCTGAGGCAGGAGGATCACTGGAGTTTGAGGCCAGCCTGGGCTACATAGTGAGCTCAAGGCCACACTGGACTACATAGCGAGACCCTGTCTCAAAAAAACAAAACCAAAACCAACCAACCAACCAAATAAACACTCCGTAATTGTGATGTGGTTGTGTCTTGGTTGGCTGGGGCAAGCTGGCATCGTCGGACTCCTTCCTTCCAGCTGGAAGACCCTGTCATCTTATCCATACGCAGCTTCTCTCTTCTCATTCGTATTTACTTTCACCTCCACGTCACTCAGGACGTCACTCCGGTGCTGTTATGTCTGACTCACCTTGGCAGCATTAAAGGGCAGAAACTG